GAATTATTAAAAAAAACGAAACGCTAGGGCCCCCTAAAAACAAAACGAGTTTAGAACCAAATTTTCCCATGGTTTCCCAAGCCTAATAAACAGTTAGAGACATGGAGAGATCTGAATTGAGTCAAACAGGCCTCATTTAATATGCCTTGCTTTTAATTGGAGCCAAAATGACAGTGATATCAGCACTACTGAGACTCAGGGAACAATTCTTAGAGAAACATAATGAAAACCAGCTGGCTTGAATTTTTGTAGATGCCGAGAAAGCCTTTGATAATGTTAACTGGGTTTTGGATACATTTTTACAAAATGCATCTCTTTCAAGTACCTTGAATTTGGTCTAGAACAGTGGATCCCAACACATGGTCCGTGGACCACCAATGGGCTAAAAATATAGGCAGAACGATGCAGCTGAAAGAATGGGAAATAATATGGCCAAAACGATTAAAATATACTTACGCATCAGATCTTAGGGAAAATTGGCTAAAGATGTTACATCGTTGGTACAGGAGTCCACAAAAATTGGCTAGAATGTATAAGAATTTGGATAATAATTGTTGGAAATGTAAATCTCAAGAAGGTTCTTTTTATCACATTGAATTTGGTCTAGAACAGTGGATCCCAACCCATGGGATCTAAAATATGGGAGCTAAAATATGGTCCGCACCCTCACCGTTACTACACCGTTGCAACTAAAGCGACTGGTCTCGTGAAACCCTCTTGTAGTGGTAAGGCTTATTACATGGTTTTCTATGGACGAGGAGATGGTCACTACTGGATGGCATATGTTCTGTATCAGAATAGGACCCAACCATACCCACAGACCTCAGCTTGCAGCATAGAAATGATCAGTAGGGCTGGGTAACCACGTAAAAAAATTGTTTCTAAACTCGATTCGTTTCCAGGGAGCGCTAGCGTTTCCAAATTCTAAATACTTCCGAAATTTTGAGATTTCAAAGTTTCGTTATTTATGAAATTTCGTTAATTTCGAATCGATTCGTTAATGGCGGACGCGATTGCGCAATATGCTAAAAAACCCCTCCAAATGGGAGAGGAGGAACTTCTGAATCTTCCCTCTCCCTCTGTTGTTGACTGTTGGTGTGATAATTTATTTTTTATCACTGATAAAACAAACAACAACCCTAAAACTTGCACCAGACATACGGAAATCATTACGAAACAATTTCGAAACAATTTCGAAATAAATTGAAAAAATTGTTTTGATTTTTGATTACTCCTGCATGGCTCAATATCGGATCGTAAGCTAATTTAAATACGAATTAATAACGAATTACGAAATTAACGAACGAAACCGCCCAGCCCTAATGATCAGATATTCTTCCCCATCTTCCCTCCACCTTTCTGTGTGTTTCGTAGCCTGAGAAATCCCAGAAGTCCTGAAGCAGAATCCCTAGAGCCCCCCATGAAATGGAGCAGGGCAGGGTGGAGAGGGGGAGGTGGGCTTCCTTGTGCCACTGACCTTGCGGAGCACCTGGTCCAAGGGCTTCCCCTTCAGCTGCAGGGCGTTCCCAATGAGGGGCAGCGGGGTGGGGCCGGGGGGCATCTTGCCCTTCCCCTGGGCCCCCCTCTTCCAGACGACAGAGAGAAGAAGGCAGGAGATGCAGACGACCAGGAGGACGGTGGACATCCCCAAGGGCTCCATCCCAGCGGCAAAAATCAAGGCTCAAGAGTGGACGGGGGGAGTTAGCTCACTCCACTGCAAAGCACAAGAGAAGTTAACATTAAACAAAGGGCATGTTTCTGTTCTTTTTTGTAAATAATGTTCTTATCACCTGGCCATGCACACTCCTGTACTTTGCTCCTTGTTCTCTCTCACTCTCTCTTTTATGAGTGTTATTGACTCTTCGAGCAACGACACAGCCCTTCTGGCGCTCCACTTAGGAAGGAAAAATGAAAGGCAAAAGGAAGGAATGGGGAACAGGACAGGAGCAGGATTCAAAATGATCTTGACAAATTAGAGAGATGATGGGCCAAAACTAACAAAATGAAGTTCAACAGGGACAAATGCAAGATACTCCACTTTGGCAGAAAAAACGGAATGCAAAGATACAGAATGGCGGACAATGCCTGGCTCGAGAGCAGGACGTGTGAAAAAGATCTTGGGGTCCTCGTGGACAACCTCGTGGACATGTCATGCAGCAGCTAAAAAGGCCAATGGGATTTTGGCCTGTATAGTGTCTAGATCTAGGGAAGTCCTGCTCCCCATTCTCTATTTTGTTTTGGTTAGACCACACCTGGAATATTGTGTCCAATTTTGGGCACCACAATTCAAGAGAGATATTGACAAGCTGGAATGTGTCCAGAGGAGGGTGACTAAAATGATCAAGGGTCTGGAGAACAAGCCCTATGAGGAGCGGCTTAAGGAGCTGGGCATGTTTAGCCTGAAGAAGAGAAGGCTGAGAGGAGACATGATAGCTATGGATAAATATGTGAGAGGAAGTCCTAGGGAGGAAAGAGCAGGCTTCCTTTCTGCTTTCCTGGAGACTAGGACACAACGGAACAATGGCTTCAAACTACAAGAGAGGAGATTCCACCTGAACATGAGGAAGAACTTCCTGACTGTGAGAGCCATTCAGCAGTGGAACTCTCTGCCCCGGAGTGTGGTGGAGGCTCCTTCTTTGGAGGCTTTTAAGCAGAGGCTGGATGGCCATCTGTCAGGGGTGATTTTAATGCAGTATTCCTGCTTCTTGGCAGAATGGGGTTGGACTGGATGGCCCATGAGGTCTCTTCCAACTCTTTGATTCTAGGATTCTATGATTCTAAATTAGGAGAACTTCCTGACTGTGAGAGCCGTTCAGCAGTGGAACTCTCTGCCCCGGAGTGTGGTGGAGGCTCCTTCTTTGGAAGCTTTTAAACAGAGGCTGGATGGCCATCTGTCAGGGGTGATTTGAATACAATATTCCTGCTTCTTGGCAGAATGGGGATGGACTGGATGGCCCACGAGGCCTCTTCCAACTCTAGGATTCCCTGATTCTGAAGGGAAGGGACGGAGCAGGAGGGTGAACCTCCCACAGAAAAAGCAGCCAAGATCCCTCCCACGTCTCGAAGACACACAGATTTAGGAAGACTGTGAGCAAAGAGAAAGGCAAATATGAACATGGGCAAACATTCAGTACCTGCCAAGCGTGCCCAGGCATGCAGGAATGCACATGATGGATGGGGCGGAGGGGGTAGAAGTTGTGCCAAGGCCCAACCCAATAGTGCACCCTATGAGTCTTGGAGTGGAGAGCCAGTGACAGAGAAGGGCCCCATTAGGCATCTATGATTAGGTTACGAACAAGGAGAGTTACATTGGCTGGTAGGCTTCGCACTGCTTTAGTGACAAAAGTCATGGCGAAGGGTGCACGGGTGTGAAGAATCAGAGAATCATAGAATCCGAGAGTTGGAAGAGACCTCCTGGGCCATCCAGACCAACCTCATTCTGCCAAGATGTAATAAGAAATTCAATGTGCAGATTTGAGAAATGTGAATGTAATAATGATGTGTGGGAATGAATGGAAGAATGGAAGGATGTGTGGATGGAGTTAATAATTTTGGAACACCAGTATAATATTAAGGCCTGCAATGACTAACTCCCTGCTTGCTGGACTTGCTAATGAGATCTGAAGAGTAAACTCTGATAAGAACGGGACAGTGATAAAGGAAATGTTTGCAACCTTCCTTATGTTAAGAAGGAAGTCAACACAAGCCTTGTGTTTGTCAACACAAGCCTTGTGTTTGTCAACACCAATCAAGAAATCAACAACCGGCCAGGAAACTGGGATGGATCCAGGAAGGAAAACGTCTATCATTCATTTACAACTTTGGGACGACATCAGCAGAATATTCCTATAAAAGACTCAGTCTAATAATGCTCCAAGTGTGGCAGACCTGAGGAGTCTGTTCCACCCGCCATGCTCTGCTCCATGGGAAGGAGAGAGGTGGTGTATTCGGAGAGTGTCAGATATGCTCTGGGAAAGCATGATTCTGGTCACTTTGGGGCTTCTTTCTCAAGGGAAGAGGAAGAAGTGTGCTTTTGGAGTCTTGGATTTTGTGCAGGGAGTCAGGTTCTGCTGTAGGGAAAACACAGATCTGGTCCTTGGCATTGTGCTTAGGGAAAGAAGTTTTGGCATCTCAGCGTTTTGAAGTTATGGCATTATGGAAGTTATGGAACGATGCATTGGCAGGCTGCAGGAAAGCAGGGTCTGGCCTAAGAGGTGCTTCTCCAAGGAGGGAGAAAAGGGTATGGTAATATTTGGATGAATGTGGATGAATGCGTGTACATGTGGCGTGAAGGCTCAGTGAAAATGTAACTCCCCTTTGTTTGTTTGTTTGTTAACCAATGTAATTGTGAATCCAATGTAGTTGCATAGAATCTGTCTATCTGTCTGTCTGTCCAATGTCAATTCTTTGACTAAATGTTTTCTATAATCTGATGTATCTTCTCACACTGGAAATTGCAATAAAAAGAGCCTATGCTTTAAAATCATTGAAAAGTCATTCATGACAAAGAAGCAGGAATATTGCATTCAAAGCACCCCGGACAGATGGCCATCCAGCCTCTCTTTCCAAGCTTTCAATGAAGGCGCCTCCACCACACTCCGGGGCAGAGAGTTCCACTGTTGAACGGCTCTCACAGTCAGGAATTCTTCCTCATGTTCAGATGGAATCTCCTCTCTTGTAGTTTGAAGCCATTGTTCCGCGTCCTAGTCTCCAAGGAAGCAGAAAACAAGCTTGCTCCCTCCTCCCTGTGGCTTCCTCTCACATATTTATACACTAGGCTTGGGTAACCACGGAAAAAATTGTTTCTAAACTTGTTTCGTTTTTAGGGGGTCTATTGCATTTCGTTTTTTTAAAGAATTCAGAATTTTTTCTTTAAAAAATTTCGAAATTTATGAAATTTCGTAAATTTCGAATCGATTCATTAATGGCGGACGCGATTGCGCAATATGCTAAAAAATCCTCCAAATAGGACAGGGGAAACTTCTGAAGCTTCCCTCTTCCTCTGTTGTTGACTGTTGGTGTGATAACAATACGAAATAAATTGGAAAAAATTGTTTTGATTTTAAATTACTCCTCACAGTAGTCCTGCATGGCTCAATATCGGATCGTAAGCTAATTTAAATACGAATTAATAACGAATTACGAAATTAACGAACGAAACCGCCCAAGCCTAGTCCTAGTCTCCAGAGAAGCAGAAAACAAGCTTGCTCCCTCCTCCTCCCTGTGGCTTCCTCTCACATATTTATACATGGCTATCATCATGTCTCCTCTCATCCTTCTCTTCTTCAGGATAAACATGCCCAGCTCCTTTAGCCGCTCCTCATAGGGCTTGTTCTCCAGACCCTTGATTATTTGAGTTGCCCTCCTCTGGACGCACATTTCCCAGCTTCTCAACATCTCTCTGCTTTTATTTTGTGTGGACTTTGTTTTTGTGTTTGTGTATGGTTTGCAATATGTTGTGTTTTGTTGTTTGCATGTTATGGTGCACTCCTGTATTAATAAAAAGTTTATACATCAAAAAACACCCTGAACCCCCCAAAAAAGAACAAGACCCCCCCCCCCCCCGAGCTGTCAAGGCTTACCACAACCACAGAAAAGCAGCAGCTTTCTCCCTCCTTCACATGCCCTTTCTCTTGTGGAATCTTGTCTGTCTTTGCCTCTCTCCTCCCTGCTTTTCCCCAAGTGCGTATTCTCTCTGCAATGCCTTTCCCTGCCCTGGGCCCTCCTTCTCTCGCTTTCCCTCTCCCTCCTTCCTTTTACGGCCTTCCTCATTCCTGCCTCTGCCTCCCTCCCCTTGGCAGCAGTGCCCACTGGCCAAGCCCTTGGCTCAGCCTGGGATGCAAATTGTGGAGAGCCAGGCTGCTAAAGAGCGAAAGAAGGAGTCAGATAGAAAGCAGGCAGGCAGAAAGGAAGGAGGGAAGGGAAGGGAAGGGAAGGGAAGGGAAGGGAAGGGAAGGGAAGGAAAGAAAGGAAAGGAAAGGAAAGGAGGGAAGAAAAAAGAAAGAAAGGAAAGCAAAGGAAAACAGGAAAAAGAAAGGAAGGGGGAGGAAGGAAGGAAGGGAAGGAAAGAAGGAAGGAAAGGAAAGGAATGGAAAGAAGGAAAGGAAGAAAATAAGAAAGGAAGGGTAGGGAAGGGAAGGAAGGGAGGAAGAAAAAAGAAAGAAAGGAAAGGAAAGGAAAAAAGAAAAAGAAAGCAAGGCGAAGGAAGGAAGGAAGGAAGGAAGGAAGGAAGGAAGGAAGGAAGGAAGGAAGGAAGGAAGGAGGGAAGGAAGGGAAGAAGAAAAAGAGGAAAAGAAAGGAGAGGAAAAAAAGGAAGGAAGGAAAGGAAAGGAAGGAAAAGGAAAGGAAAGGAAAGGAAGAAAAAGGAAGGAAATGAAAGGAAAGGAGAGGAAGAAAAAAGAAAGGAAAGGAAGGAAGGGAAGGGGGAGGGGAGGGGAGGGGAGGGGAGGGAGGAAGGGAAAACTAACAAAATGAAGTTCAACAGTGACAAATGCAAGAGACTCCACTTTGGCAGTAAAAAGAAAATGCAAAGATACAGAATGGGGGACAATGCCTGGCTCGAGAGCAGTACGTGTGGAAAAGATCTTGGAGTCCTCGTGGAGAGGAAGGTGAACATGAGCCAACAATGTGATGTGGTGGCAAAAAAAGCCAATGGGATTTTGGCCTGCATCAAGAGGAGCGTAGTGTCTAGATCTAGGGAAGTCATGCTCCCCATGCGCTATTCCGCTTTGGTTAGACCACACCTGGAATATTGTGTCCAATTCTGGGCACCACAATTCAAGAGAGATATTGAACAAGCTGGAATGTGTCCAGAGGAGGGTGACTAAAATGATCAAGGGTCTGGAGAACAAGCCCTGTGAGGAGCGGCTTAAGGAGCTGGGCATGTTTAGCCTGAAGAAGAGAAGGCTGAGAGGAGACATGATAGCCATGTATAAATATGTGAGAGGAAGCCACAGGGAGGAAGAGGGAGCAAGCGTCCTTTTTGCTTCCTTGGTGAAGCATTCAGAAACTTGGCAGGCTTGCAGTAGAAGATGTGGCCTACAAGTGAGGCGAGTTTCACACTGATTGATGCAACCGAGAGTAAGTTTCACCTTGCTTCCAAACACCACCACACAAGAGCTGTAGTTTTATAGTTTATTGAGGAAAAAAATCCAAGTCAAAATAAATAATAAGCATTGCAAAGTTCCAAAGATTTAGGTTAAATGCAGAATATAGTTCCAAAGATCTTCTGGTAAAACAAGAGGCACAATCCTATAAGCAAAGTTCAAAACAGAGTCCAAGGTACAAGCAATGAAACAATTGCCCCAAGAATCACAATGCAAGAAATCCCAAGCGTGCTGCTTTCCAGACTAAGGTTATTTCATGAAGCTTTCAGGCTAATAAGCTATGTTGAACTGACGCTTTCTCTTTAGTTTGCAAGAAGTCTAAATACCTTCCTAACAGGAAAACATTATGCTCTCACCAACATGAAAGCATTGCGATGACGTTGGCCCGAGTTGGCTTCTTGTCTGCCGGCCAGGCAAGAACTCTGCCTGACCCGCAAATCAAGACGAGCCTGCCGGGTTAGGTCACTAGCAAGGCTTTCTGCACTTTCAGTATCAGCGTGGGAAGGCGGGAAAAGAGATCAGATTGGTCATGCCAGACTAATCTGATCTCTTTCTTCGATAGAGCTACAAGCTGGGTAGATGCGGGGAATGCCGTGGATGTAGCGTACCTGGATTTCAGTAAGGCCTTCGACAAGGTCCCCCATGACCTTCTGGCAAGGAAACTAGTCCAGTGTGGGCTAGGCAAAACTACGGTGAGGTGGATCTGTAATTGGTTAAGTGGACGAACACAGAGAGTGCTCACTAATGCTTCCTCTTCATCTTGGAAAGAAGTGACAAGTGGAGTGCCGAAGGGTTCCGTCCTGGGCCCGGTCCTGTTCAACATCTTTATTAATGACTTAGATGAAGGGCGAGAAGGCATGATCATCAAGTTTGCAGACGACACCAAATTGGGAGGGATAGCCAATAGTCCAGAGGACAGGAGCAGAATTCAAAACGATCTTGACAGATTAGAGAGATGGGCCAAAACTAACAAAATGAAGTTCAACAGTGACAAATGCAAGATACTCCACTTTGGCAGGAAAAATGAAATGCAAAGATACAGAATGGGGGACAATGCCTGGCTTGAGAGCAGTACGTGTGAAAAAGATCTTGGAGTCCTCGTGGACAACAAGTTAAACATGAGCCAACAATGTGATGTGGCGGCAAAAAAAGCCAATGGGATTTTGGCCTGCATCAATAGGAACCTAGTGTCTAGATCTAAGGAAGTAATGCTACCCCTCTATTCTGCTTTGGTTAGACCACATCTGGAATATTGTGTCCAATTCTGGGCACCACAATTCAAGAGAGATATTGACAAGCTGGAATGTGTCCAGAGGAGGGCGACTAAAATGATCAAGGGTCTGGAGAACAAGCCCTATGAGGAGCGGCTTAGGGAACTGGGCATGTTTAGCCTGAAGAAGAGAAGGCTGAGAGGAGATATGATAGCCATGTATAAATATCTGAGAGGAAGCCACAGGGAGGAGGGAGCAAGCTTGTTTTCTGCTTCCTTGGAGACTAGGACGCGGAACAATGGCTTCAAACTACAAGAGAGGAGCTTCCATCTGAACATTAGGAAGAACTTCCTGACTGGGAGAGCCGTTCAGCAGTGGAACTCTCTGCCCCGGAGTGTGGTGGAGGCTCCTTCTTTGGAAGCTTTTAAACAGAGGCTGGATGGCCATCTGTCAGGGGTGATTTGAATGCAATATTCCTGCCTCTTGGCAGGGGGTTGGACTGGATGGCCCATGAGGTCTCTTCCAACTCTTTGATTCTATGATTCTATGATTCTATGATTCCCCACCTGTTCGCTATCTCCTTCATTAAAATTCTTTTCTTCTGAGAACCATTGCGGTGATTCAGAAAAAGACCTAGAAGCAGGCCCAGAGATCTGAGGCACAGAAAAATCTGAATCCCATCATCCTCATCATCAGGGAACATCTCAGCCACAACACTGATAGTGTTGCACCTCAGCTAGAGTTCACCTAGCTGCACTCATCAGGAAGCCAAGCGTAGTAATAAAGAGTTTCTTGTTAAAGCACACACAGTAAAAGAGTAAAAAAAAATCCAAATATGTAAAGCTAGGAAGAGTCCCAAAGGCCAGAGACAATCTCAAATGCAAAAGTCTAAATGCAAAAGTTTCGGCGGTGACCAGGGGAGCATTCGCACAGTTAAAACTCGTGCGCCAGCTGCGCCCGTACCTTGGGAAGTCTGACTTGGCCACAGTAGTCCATGCTCTGGTTACATCCCGTTTAGACTACTGCAACGCTCTCTACGTGGGGTTGCCTTTGAAGACGGCTCGGAAGCTTCAATTAGTCCAACGTGCGGCAGCCATGATACTAACAGGAGCGGAGCGCAGGGAGCATACCACTCCTCTGCTGCGCCAGCTCCACTAGCTGCCGATCTGCTACCGGGCTCAATTCAAAGTGCTGGCGTTGGCCTTTAAAGCCCTAAACGGTTCTGGCCCAAGTTACCTATCCCAACGTATCTCTGTCTATCAGCCCGCCAGGACCCTGAGATCTTCTGGGGAGGCCCTGCTCTCTATCCCGCCTGCTTCACAAGTGCGGCTGGCGGGGACGAGAGACAGGGCCTTTTCTGTGGTGGCCCCCCGGCTGTGGAATGCCCTTCCTATGGAGGTAAGATCAGCCCCCTTGCTAATGGTGTTCCGAAGAAGATTAAAAACTTGGATGTTTGAACGGGCATTCGGTTAAACAGTGCAATGAATGTGATGATTACAGGAATGGATGAATTTGGATCATGACTCTAGTGACGACAAGCATTGTGTTGTTATTGTTGTGTAATACTGTATATTGTGCTTTTGTGTTTTAAATTGTATATTGTGATTGATTTTACCCTTGTTGTAAACCACGTTGAGTCGCCGGTTAGGCTGAGAAACTGCGGTATACAAGTAAAGTAAATAAATAAATAAATAATAAATAATCCAAGGTGCATGGAACAAACATGAGCTTGACTAATCCAAGAGTCAAGGAATAAAACATAAGCTTGAGTTCATGATAAAATCCCCAAGACTGGTAGCAAAACTTGACTAGAAAATTTGGCTTGAAGCTCAGATAGAACCGGAAACAAGGCGGGAGCTTCTCGCTCTATTTGCTACATTGCTTGATCTGAGACCTGAGAGCTATTCTTTCCCTTATTAAGGACGGCAATGCATGAAAGCATTCCGTTGGCTTTGAGGAGTCCTACTTGGCCTCTGCCTCCTTTTCCCATAGCTCGGCTTGCACCTGGAATTCTTCCCCAGCAGGAGCAGCCTTGAATCTCTGTCTAACCCCCTTCCTCCCTTCTCTGCCTGTCAGCTTCTAAAACAGGTTCGTTTTCACACAGAGAATCAATCAAATCCCTCTCCGTTCTCCCAACCAAGGAATCACCATCCTGTTCCAACATCCCATCTGTCTGAGCACCTCCAGAAGCATCAGGCCCTGCAGGACCTTCACCCCCAACCCCTTGTCATCATCCTCGGCTGGCTGAACTACAACAGATAGGTCTAAAAGTAACATAGAAATGATCCCGTTGGTGCCAATAGACCGAATCTTTCTGATATGAAAAAAGCAACCCCACCCAAAGTTGGGAAATTCCCTAAAAACAGAACAGGGGGGCAACCAAAAACTGGGCATGGAAAATGGCATGGGTTTTGCTGAATTGCACAACCCTAGTAATCACCCAATTGTTCTCCATGATAGCATCATAGTATGAGATCCTTGATCGCTCATTCCTCTCTGAGAACTTCAAGATTTTACAAACTGGGTCTGTCTTCACCATGATCTCCAGATCCCCTTGCAGGACTCTCATGGGTCATCCCAATCCCACCAAGATAGATGCAATATTCTCATGAATATACATGAGTGATGGTGACAATAACATTTTATGGGCATCTCCACAGAGCTGTAAGGACTTTAGAAAAAACCCTTCCAGATGTGGGAGTTGGGCTGGATGGCCCACGAGGTCTCTTCCAACTCTATGATTCTATGTGTCGAAAACATGAATAAAACACCATTACTACTTTAGCCTGAGAGGACTCCTCCAGAAATCTCTAAGCCCTCCAGTGGGATTTTCCTCATACGAGTTCTGCTGGAGGATCTAGAACAGTGGTTCTCAACCTGTGGGTCCCCAGATGTTTTGGCCTTCAACTCCCAGAAATCCTAACAGCTGGTAAACTGGCTGAGATTTCTGAGAGTCATAGGCCAAAACACCTGGAGACCCACAGGTTGACAACCACTGATCTAGAGATTCCAAGAGAGATCCTCCAGCTCAATTCTCTGCTCAAAACTTTCCTAGCTTCTTAGAGCTTCCTAGAAAGATGACACCAACTGAATCTGCAGAAGTTAAGCCTGGAATAGTTGCCTTTAGGGGCTCCTTTAGGTTTCCCTGCTTCTTGTCAGAATGGGTTTGGACTGGATGGCCCACAAGGTCTCTTCTAACTCAATGACTCTATGCTTCTGTTATTGGGTTTTGATGAGTAAATGGTTCAAGGACTCAAAAAAGGCCCTGAAAAGCAAGCATCAAGAGGCCAAACCAAGAAGTCCAGGTGAGAAAACTTGAAAGACACATCCTTCCCAGTCTGGAATATCCACATACAAAATCAGTTGAAAACAATATAGAATGGGGGTCAAAGAACATTTAATAACAAGCAAGTTAAATCCTCCCACGGGTGCAGATTTGGAGGAGACCCATTAGAGCTTGTCTGGTCACCCTGGACTATGCCAGGGCTTCTGTTCTCCAGATGTGTGATTTTCAGCGTGGGATAACACAGAACTTGTACGGCCGAGGGAAATTGTTCATTCCCCCTTCCAAGGGGGAGATGTCGATGTCCTGGGGGTCCGTGAGGGACTTCAGCTTGAAATTCTGGAGGATGGAGGTGAAGAACAAAAAGAGCTCCATGCGGGCCAGGCCTTCTCCTGCGCAGACCCGTTTGCCTGCAAAGAGACCCAGGAAGGAAGGGGAGAAACAGGGGAGGGGGTCACCAAGGGAGCTGTAGGAGACACGCAGCAGAATCCAGTCTGAAGAGCAAGGGAAGCAGAAGCCTCACTCTGTTCTGCTTTGGTCAGGCCTCCTCATCTGGAAACCCCTCTCCAGTTCAGGAACTCTGACAAGAAGGTATGTGACTAAAGAAGAGTGACCAAGATGCCCAGAGGTCTTGAAACCAAGCCAAAGAAGGAGGCCCCACCACACTGTGAGGGTCTTGAAACTAAGTAAAATAAGGCACTAAGTTCCACTGTTGAACAGCTCTTACGGTCAGGATGCTTTGAATGCAACATTCCTGCTTCTTGGTAGAATGGGGTTGGACTGGATGGCCCATGAGGTCTCTTCCAACTCTAGAATTCTAGGATTCTATGATTTCCCTTTTATGGTCCAGCCAAGTGGATTTATATATATACTTTGGTTTTATGTGTCCCGTTGACCATTATGATATGACTTCAAAGGGGTCATGAGACGTGGACATGATGGACACCTCAACACTATTAGGATGGGGATGAAGGACCTGTGAGATCCTTTTCATCATCCAGTGGAAACAAAAAACCCAGCAAGTGGTTTTATTTTTTTGGGGGGGGGGAGGAAGGGGGCATTAATTATGTTTTGATTAAAATCCTTTGTTTACCACTCTAACCATCATGGGTGCAGAACATAGTGGCCAGTAGCTCAAGGCTAGTGTTGAATAGAGCCAATTACGGACTCTCTTTGGTCTGCATAGAAAAAGGGGGTCTGGTTGTCCCGTGTGGTTTCATCCAACGGTATGTTTGTATGGCTCAATATCTCACTGCCATGTGAGGGTTCATTCCCCACTAATGGGCAACTCAGAAGCCATAACGGAGCTGCTGCCCAATGGGAGAAGGAGAGGCTTACCTGCTGAGAAGGGCATGAAGTAGTTGCTCTTCCTGAAGGTCCCGTCCTTGTTCAGGAAATGTCTTGGGTCAAACTCGGTGGGGTTGGGAAATTCCTTGCCGTCGTGCAGCACCGAGGTCAGAACAGGCATGATGGTGGTGCCCTGCAAAGAGTACAGGAGTTGGTGAAATAACAACACTACGTAACGAAACTTTGGATTTTTTTATGTTCCTGGTTTGAAAGTGTTATTTCCTGTTTAACTGTGTGGTCATTACTTGGAAAGTAGTTGTTGGTTGAATTGGTTGTTGGTTGAATTGGTTGAGACTCAATGAAAAACCAGAGCAAAATGTATTGCAGGATGGACCACAAAAACAGTAGAACCAATTAGGAAATGACATTGATAACCCAGGAACTGTTATTTCCTGTTTAACTGTGTGGTCATTATATTCTGGCATATAAGATGACTGGACGCATAAGATGACCCCCAACTTTTCCGGTTAACATATAGAGTTTGGGATATACTCGCCATGTAAGACTACCCCTCTTCCAACACACACCACATAAACATTTTAAAAGCATCGGATTTGATTTCCATATGGTAATTTTCCTATTACTCTCCCTCCTTCTCTGCCTCTCAGATGTCACATGCGCACCTCCACCGCTTCACTGCAGTCTTCAGGAGCGAGATCTGAGAGGCAGAGGAGGAGGGACGGTAATAGGATACAAGGGCGGGCCAGACAGGTAAAAGAGGTGTGTTTTTCTTCACCCAAAGCCACTTTATCTCTTTTTTCCATACCCCGGGCACCCCGGATGCCTGCAGCTTGCTCAGCCCTTCACTTACACCAGGGTTTCTCAACCTGGGGGTCGGGACCCCTGGGGGAATCATGAGGGGTTGCCAGAGAGGTCACCAAAGACCATTAGAAAACACAGTATTTTCTGCTGGTCATGGGGGTTCTGTGTGGGAAGTTTGGTCCAATTCTATCATTGGTGGGGTTCAGAATGCTCTTTGATTGTAGGTGAACTATAAATCCCAGCAACTATAGCTCTGAAATGTCAAGGTCTATTTTCCCTAAATTCCACCAGTGTGAACATTTGGGCATATTGAGTATTTGTGCTAGGTTTGGTCCAGAGCTATCATTGTTGAAGTCCTTAGTGATCTCTAGATGTGGGTGAACTATAACTCCAAAACTCAATGTCAATGCCCATCAAACCCTTCTAGTGTTTTCTGTTGGTCATGGGAGTTCTGTATGCCAAGTTTGGTTCAATTCCATTGTTGGTGGAGTTCAGAATGCTCTTTGATTGTAGATGAACTATAAATCCTTGCAACTATAACTCTCAAATGATAAAATCAATCCACACCCAACCCCACCAGTATTCAAATTTGGGTGTATTGGCTATTTGTGCCAAATTTCATCCAGTGAATGAAAGTACATCCTGCATATCAGATATTTACATTATGATTCATAAGAGTAGTAACATTACAGTTCTGAAGTAGCAACGAAAATAATTTTATGGTTGGGGTCACCACAACATGAGACACTTTGTTAAGGGGTCAAGACATTAGGAAGGTTGAGAACCACTGACTTACACCTTCCCGGTAAGGTGCCCCTTCACCTCACCATCGGGACCACATTAGGTCCACGAATCCTGATGAACTGATTTTCTTTTACCGTACTTGTACAGTGTCGCCCTTAATGCTTTCATACAGTCACTGCATATGGCAGGGACACGACCACTGCCATTTTTGAGCTCACCCACAATATGCAGCAACCACAGATTCTCCAATGTGGATTGGAAGTTTCAGCACCCGCTCTATAAGATGACTCCCAGCGTATAAGACCACTCCCACATATAAGACGACTCCCATGCATAAGGCTACTCCAGCATATAAGACGACCCCTGACTCTTGAGAAGATTTTCTTGTGTTAAAAAGTAGTCTTATACGCCAGAATATACAGTAGTTGTGGCGCAGCTGGCTGAGTGTCAGCTGCATTAAGATCACTCTGACCAAAAGGTCATGAGTTCGAAGCCAGCCCGGGTTGGAGTGGGTTTCCAACCATTTGTGTGTAGCCTGTTGACCTTTGCAACCTGAAAGACAGTTGCATCTGTCAAGTAGGAAAATTAGGTACCACCTTAAAGTGTGGGGAGGCTAAATTACAAAAACAGTAGAACCTATTAGGAAATGACAATTATAACCCAGGAACAAAAAATTTGCTGTATTGGAAATTTCAACCCTATCCGTGTTGGGATGCAGGTAGGGTTGGGGATGTGGATTTTCCAGGTCAGACAGTGGCCAAATTGTCAAGATAGAAATAGGAAATAGGATTTCTAGTCCTACTGGATGCCAAGTAGAGCAATGCCCTTTGAGGGCCCTTTCCAATGTTATGGTTCCGCTGTGGAAGTGTCTTCTTCTGGGACTAGAAGCAGAGAACTCACTTTTGGGATGACGTATCCTCTGAATGACGTGTCTTTGACCACGGCATGTG